TGGCTCAATTTCTGTTTGACTCGGTTCTGCTGTTGTTTCTGTGGGTCGCGTTCAGATCCCCTGGCTCAATTTCTGTTTGACTCGGTTCTGCTGTTATTTCTGGGGGTCGCATTCAGATCCCCTCGCTCAAATGCCCACAATGCCTGTAACCAGTTGTTGTCAAGTGGGTTTCCACTCACGGTAATTCCCTGTGTGTCAGCAGAACTGTGCTCCACAGGCTTTTCGATGGCTGATCTTTCAGAAACAGATTGCCAGGCCTTTCTTTAGAAGTGCCTAGGGGTGGACTCGAACCTCTAACCTTTCGGTTATCAGTCAACACTTAACCATTTGCACCACCCAGGGACTCCACATTTGGGGTCACCATGAGCCGGAATCAACTTGATGGTAAACCCATTGCCATCACCGGGATTCCGACTCTTAGAGACCCTGTAGGACAGAGGAGAACTGCCCCATAGGGTTTCCAAGGCTGTAAATCTTTATGGAAGCAGACTGCCACATCTTTCTCCCATGGAGCAGCTGGTGGGTTTGAACCGCTGACCTTCTGGTTAGCAGCCGAGTGCTTAACCACTGTAGCAACTGTTAAATAAAGGTCGTCTCACAAGGGGGGTCCCCACCAGTGATCGGTTTGCAGATGTGCAATTCTTGCGTTGGAGGGTGTCATGGATTGAATTGTGTCCCCCCAAAAGTGTGTGTAGCAACTTGGCTAGGTCATGATTCCCAGTATTGTATGATTGTGTTATCTGATGTGATTTCCTTATGTGTTGTAAACTCTATCACTATGATGAGATTATATGTGATCTCCTCGTGTTGTAAATTCTATCACAGTGATGAGGTTGACAAGATTAGATAGTGTCTTAATGCAATCTCTTTTGAGATATAAAAGAGAGAAGCAAACAGAGACACATGGGAACCTCATACCACTAAGAAAGCAGTGCTGGGAGCAGAGCATGTCCTTTGGACCTGAGGTTCCTGTGCAGAGAAGCTCCCAGACCAAAGGAAGATTGATGACTCAGACCTTCCTCCAGAGCCAATGAAGAAAGCTTCCCCCTGGAGCTGACGCCCTGAATTTGGACTTGTAGCCTACTGGACTGTGAGAGAATAAATTTCTCTTTGTTAAAGCCCTCCACTGGTGGTATTTCTGTTACAGCAGCACTAGATGACTGAGACAGAGGCTTTCGTATTTTGCCCCTATTTTAACCGTTTCTGCAAACCAGAGTCACAGAATGACAGATGGATGCCATTGTCTCTGAATGTCACCTCATCATTACAGACGGAGGTTGCGATATGGTGGCTCTGCAGCCTGGCGGCATGCTTACCTTGGTAGGAGATGACCGGGTGCTCTGCCCTCTGGCACTGAGAAGGGTCCCGCGTGGGCTGGCTGAGCCTCCACACGCCCAGGCTGGAGACCAGCCAGGCAAGGAAGCTGGGGCCCCGCATGGCGCACAGGAGGCCTTCACTGCAGACAGCGTCCTCTAGCCAGAAGCTCGTCTTCCCGTCATCTGTGGAAACTGCCTGAAACACATGGAAGAGAAGGCTTGGGTTAACCTGAGCTCAGCTGTCTGGGGGGCGACCGTTGGGAAGGCCCCGTCACTAAGTTTACGGAGATGAGGCAATGGTGGTTCAGGGGTAGAATTCTCGCGGTCCGTGCCGGAGACCCAGTTGGAGTCCCAGCCAACGCACCTCACGTGCAGCTACCATCCGTCTGTCAGTGGAGGCTTATGTGTTGCTAGGATGCTGAACAGGTTTCAGCAGAGCTTCCAGACTAAGACCGACTGGGAAGAAAGGCCTGGTGATCTACTTCCAAAAATCAGCCAGAGGAAAACCCCAGTGGATCCCACAGTCTAATGCACAACTGAGCACAGGGGTGGCACAGGAGTGGGCCGCACTTACTGCTGTATGTGGGTTCATCACGAGCGGATGGCCAGCTCCACGGCAGTCAACAGCAACAGTGCTTGGCAGAGACAGAGGGCACTTAGACAAACACATCGATCTCTAGGCGGGATTTCAGATCATGTGTGTGCGCGGGTTTCAAAACAGACTTCGATGTCTCCCAACAATTTTATGAGATCGCCCGCTTAATGCAAAACGAGAAACGCAGTTCCAGCTGTTGTCAGAGTCTCTCCAAGGAAGGAACGTCGATCACAGTCTGCGACCACTGACTGGTTTTTCCTCACCGCCCCCCCGCCATGGTTATGAAACAAAAGGTATGACGATGCCTCCAGTCCAGAATAAACACAGACATTATATTTTTATCTTCCTGACTCAAGACTCAAGAGATTCCATCAAATTATGAACCTTCAGGTAACTAACACCTGTTGCAGGTGACTTTAACGTAACTCAGTTCTGCTCACAGCAAGGAGGTGTGGTGTAACCTCGCCCATTCCAGTCCCTCGGGGAGGCTGTGGAGGGACAGTCACTGCCCGCGTCAAAGCACGTCGGCAATGATACAATAATATGAGAAGGGACACAAACACCAAGACAGGAGCTCAGCAAACGCCAGCTCCGTGCCAGAATGGTGCCCAGCACTCACACCCGGAGCAGCACCCCAACACATCAGCACTCACCAGACAGCACTCCGACTCGGAGAAGGATGGGGGACGGTCCTCCCTGGATGTCTGAGACACAGAGCAAACCAACTGGGGGCCAAGAGCCAATTCTTCTCCTGCACACACGTGTGTGTGTGTGTGTGTGTGTGTGTGTGTGTGTGTGTGTGTGTGTGTGTGTGTGTGTCCCACACCAACGCAGAATCCCCCCTACGAGCTATGCGGCGCGTTGCCCAGGCCACCAGGCATCTGCAGGACACCATGATCTCCAGTCGCGGCCCTGATGTCTGTGCCTCCAGAATGAAGGCGGAGGAACCAACGCAGACGCGCGAGACGTGCCCCCTGGGGTTTGGGAAGTGGCCATCAGAGAAGAAAGCGATGTCATCTCAAGCAGAGGAGCAGCTAAAACGGAACATGAGTTCCACGGGGACCGGAGGAAATTACACGCTTGCCCCGTGACGTGTCAGGTAGCACACGGGATGGCGACAGGTGATTTCCGAGGCTTGTAACTTTCAGACGGTACCTGTTACCTTGCTCCTTAAATAAAGGCATCCAAACAGCACTCGTCTCAGGGAAGGGCTTCGCGGCTTTGTTTGGAGATGCGGCTTTTCTGAGCACCCTACCACACAGCACTAACTTCTGAAGTCTCCGACTCGAAATCGCTCAGCTCAAACCAGCAGGTCCCTCCTTCCCGGGCGCTGCAATTCCAACTTCCACTGAGTTCTGGATAACCGAGTGGACAGGTTTATACCACACTTCTTCGTGTCTAATCTCAGCCCAGGGACAGTGGGGGCTCCGGGGTAGATTTCTCACCTTCTGTGCAAGGGACCCAGGGTGGATCCCTGGCCACTGCACCCCATGCACAGCAACCGTCCCTCTGTTCGTGGAGGCTTGTATGTTGCTAGGATGCTGAACAGGTTTCAGGGAAGCTTCTAGAGTATGACAGACTAGGAAGAAAGGCCTGGCAATCTACTTCTGAAAATCAGCCATTGAAAACCCTATGGGTCATTTTGTCCCATTGTGCATGGGGTCGCCATGAATCTCAGCACCACTGCCACTGTGAGCCAAATAACTTTCTTCTGGGGCATCCTGTGCACTGTGGGGTGCTGAGCAGCATCCTGGCCTCCACCCGCTAGATGCAGGTAGCAACCCCAGTACTGACCACCAAAAATGTCTCCGAAAACCAAAAACCAAACCCGTTGCTGTCGAGCCGATTCTGACTCATAGCGACCCTGTAGGACAGAGTAGAACTGCCCCATAGGGTTTCGGAGGAGCGCCTGGTGGTTTAGAACAGTTGACCTTTCGGTTAGCAGCCACAGCACTTAACCACTGCGCCACCAGGGCTCCAAAAATGTCTCCAGACATCCCCAAGTCACCCTCGGTGGAGAACGCCGATTTACACGCATCAAAACATCCTACTCTTTTTAAAAATTGAAAAGAGAGATCACCACTTGGAGATGACTCAGCATGTGTTTATACAAATTGCCCAGCTGAATTCGCACTGCGGTATTTCAGCAGCATTTCGGTAAAAAATGAAAGCCACGTTACTTATAACTAGTTGCTACATTTGGGAAATATATTGTGAAAGCGTTTTCAATGAGTTCCAATAAAGATAGTTCTAATTTCACCCCTCCACCTGTGGATAATTAAACATAGATTAGGTGAATTGGCGCTAAACAAACAATCCTCGCCAACGAGATTTACGAGCGCAGAATTTAAGGCCAATTTGGGCTACGAAATACGGGCATTTGTGTCACCTCCACTTGCAGCTCCCTGAAGCCACAGCCCGCGTTTCCTTCCATGGGGGGCTGGGGAGACTGTGTTTGCCCGCTGTAAATAAACACAGCTCTGTTTGTCTTTGTGCGATAAATAACATTTCCTATTCACACCCACACTGTAACCGAATAGGCTTTGGGGAGCAGAAAGTAACTGTTGCTTTTAGCAAAAAAAAAAAAAAAAATGCTGTCAGATAAAAACACAATCAAAGGAATGAAATCTTATATAAGAAGTTTCGCTCTGGGAACAAAGTCTAACCAGTGATTAATAACAACTAATTCAAATACATTTGTTGTCGTTCGTGGCTGTTGAGTTGGCTCCAGCTCATGACTACCCCATGGACAACAGAACGAAGCGCCGCCCAGTCCTGCACCTTCTTCACCATCATTGCTATGCTCAGGTCCATTGTTACGACCGCTGTGTATCTTCAGCGCCTTCCAACCTAGGGAACTCAGCACTGTATCGGACAATGCTCTTGTCATGGATTGAATTATGTCCCCAAAAAATGTGTGTATCAGTATGGCTGGGCCATGAGTCCCAATATTGTATGGTTGTCTTCCATTTTGTGATTGTAATTTTATGTTAAAGAGGATTAGGGTGGGATCGTAACACCCTTACTAAGGTCACATCCCTGATCCAATGTAAAGGGAGTTTCCCTAGGGTGTGGCCTGCATCAGCTTTTATTTTACAAAAGATCAAAGGAAAGGGAAGCAAGCAGAGAATTGGGGACCTCACCACCAAGAAAGCAGTGCCAGGAGCAAAGCAGGTCCTTTGGACCTGGGGTTCCTGCACAGAGAAGCTCCTAGACCAAGGGAAAATTGATGATGACAAGCACCTTCCTCCAGAGCCAACAGACAGAGAAAGCCTTCCCCTGGAGCTGGCACCCTGAATCTGGACTTGCAGCCTACTAGACTGTGAGAGAATAAACTTCTGTTTGTTGAAGCCATCCATCCACTCGTGGTATTTCTGTTAGAGCACACTAGACAACTAAGATAGCTCTGTTGTGATCCACAGGGTTTCCGCTGGCTGATTTTTGGAAGGAGGTCACCAGGCCTTTCTCCCTAGCCTATCTTAGTCTGGAAGTGCTGCTGAGACCTGTCCACTATGGGTGACCCTGATGGTGTTTGAAATACCAGTAGCACCGCTTCCAGCATCACAGCAATACGCAAGGTGGTGGGTAAACAAATAGCTTGCCCTCTTCTAACCTCTCAGGATGCCTCCCCAGCCTCCTTCTGGGCCCCCCCATTCCCTCCCCCACTACTCCCACCAGCACAACTGGGCCCTCTGCCCCCCAGGACCAGTCAGGTCCTCAAAGGAAGCCAGTCATGCTCACTCCAGATTTGCAGGTGCCACAGGCCCACTCAGCCCAGGTCTTCCTGCTACTCAAGTCCAGAGTGTCTTCTACCACCCCCACCCAGGCTGCCTACTCCCACCCATGGGTCACCTGGCTGTGACAAGCCCACTGTCTGCCACAGTACTGCCTCCTAGTCTAAGGTGACCTTGCTTGGGTCAGACACCTCCTCCTTACTGTAAACGGACATAGTTAGAGCCCCCAGGTGATGCATCCCAGATTGCTGGCTCAGCCGTGTGAGGAGTCAGAAAGAATAAAGCTCGTGTTCCACTTGGCACTTCAGCACCCCCAGTACCCCACCCCCACGCGAGCACCATTGTGAGGGGCTTGTCCTGGGCACACCTGAGGCAGGAAATGAGTCAAAGACAGGCCATCTCCTCCCCCTGCTCACTCTGCGGCCAAGAGCTGAGCTCAGACACAACTCAGGTCCTGCCACCGAAGCTCTTCGCCCTCCGCAGCTCGGCCTCCCACTCACAGCTGTAAGCCCACACTCGTGTGGCCACAGGATCACATCACCCGAGTCACCCCGAGAACGGTCCTGCCCCCAGGTTATGTAATAAGTAAGGCACGAGCTCCCGGCAGGAACGGGGCATCTTAGACGGCCCCTTAGTCTCCTAGGGCAGCTATAACAAAATGCCACAAAGTGGGCGACTTTAAGAACAGGAATTTATTGTCTCACAGTTCTGGGGGCCAGACGTCTGAATTCAGGGTGTCCGCGGAGCCAAGCTCTCCGTCTGCTCCGAAGGAAGAGCCTTCCTGGCCTCTGA